CAGACAGGCTAATGGTAAACTTGTGTGAAGATGGAGCTGAGTTCAAAGGCAAGGAAGTTCCAGTCTGAACATTTGATTCATTACCAAAAGTGACATCAACTGGACCAAAACTATAAACAAACATTTCCAATTTGCCAAACCCACAGATTACTAACAGCTCCATTTAATAGTTAGTTAAATCTTCATCTTGATTTTACAGTGTTACAATTATTTTTAAAACCTTTTTAAATAATACTGTAATTCCTGAAGTTTTTTTTTTTGCCACATGTTCCCCCCACCCTAACACCCCCTACTTTCCATCTACAGTAGTAAAACGTCACATTAGAGTTTTAAGAGAACATCAAGGAACATGAATTGTAGTAATTTAAAAAAAAAGAAAGGACCAAACAATCTTCTTGTTAAATAACTGCACAACAAGTAAAAGGTAATAAATGCTATTACAGTGGTACAGGTATGTCCAAGGAAAAAAAAAGGAGAGGTTTGCCTTTAGTGAATCATTTCCCCATTAATTCAGAAATAAACAAAGGGGCTGGAGGAGTTGTGGACTTAGTCATACAAAAACATTCTCTCAAACATTCATTTGGTAAGAAAACACTAAGATTCAAGGCTTAATACTTCACAAGAGCCATTTGTGACTTTGCACACACCTAGCAGAGCATTTCAGAGAACTCAATGGAAGTTCCCCCAGAAGCACATGTGGTTAGTGAGCCTTGAGTTTTTTGGAGCCAGCAGGTGGTGCAAGTCATTGTAAATCACTGGTCAACAGAAGACAATGTCCTCCACAGATGTCAATACCTGAGGACCTGGCCCGTTATTCCAAGGTTGTTTTTGGCAAGCAGATCACATGTAATGGTGACACAGCCAGATTATAACACAAACTCCTGCTTCGTTCTGGATCACTACAATAGTCAATCAGCTTTACCTTAAAAAGACTCCGACCTTAAAGAAATATTAATTCAGGGTTAGTAACAATAATGTGCAACCAGGGTTAATTTCCCAACAGAGCAACTGAGCTGTAACATTAAGGAAGGTGGAGAGAAAAAAAAATGTATATATTCAGAACCTCTCTCTATATTAAAAAAAATGGCTCAGGTGGAGTGAGCTATGTTCCCAATACTTGAGGAGGCCAGTAAGAGTTTAAAAATAGGGTCCCTCATTCCTCTGTCATTAGGATCCAAGGGCTTAGTACCTTCTTCAGGAGTAGCAGAAGGTGCTGTTACCAGCATATCCCTAGGTGATCCTCACCTGAACAGGTCTCATGTGGCAATGATGCTAGAGAAGTAACAACTGCATGAATACCAACTGTTTGGCGTCAGAGGGAGGCAGCCTCGTCGTGTGGATAGGACAGTGAGCTGTGGGGCCAGGCAACCTGAGCTCTAATCTCAGCACTGCAACAGTTCTCCTGCGTGACCCTGGACAAGTCACTTCACCCCGATCCTTCATCTATTTTGGGGCAAGATTCAACTTTGGAAACAGGAACTTAACTGGAGTCTCCCAGTGTTACTCTAACACAAATTTCATAGATTTCATAGACATTAGGGCTGGAAGGGACCTCAGAAGATCATTGAGTCCAGCCCCCCGCCCAAAGGGCAGGAAGTCAGCTGGGGTCATAGGATCCCAGCAAGATAAGCATTCAATTTGCTCTTGAAGGTGTTCAATGTAGGTGCTTGAACCACCTCCGATGGCAGGCTGTTCCAGACCTTGGGGGCTTGGACAGTAAAGAAATTCTTCCTTATGTCCAGCCTGAAACGGTCTCACAGTAGTTTATGACTGTTTGACCTCGTCATCCCTTGGGGTGCTCTGGTGAACAAACGTTCCCCCAGATCCTGGTGGTCACCCCTGATAAACTTATAGGTGGCCATTAGATCACCCCTGAGCCTGCACTTTTCCAGGCTAAATTAAATGTCCTGAAGACAGAACATCAAGGTGCCAGGCTAACATGACTTACAAAAACAGTATCAACTACTCACATGACCCCCCTTCCCCCACCCCGCCATATTTGAGGGTAGGGATAAGGTATTGTTGTCAGGTAGTATTTCCAGCTTGTGACACTCATGGACCAATTCTCCACTGAGGCTGACCACAGAGGCCTGAAGAGAAACCCTTACACTGCAGCCCCTTTAAAAACTGAGATGAAGGAATGACTGGAGGATATACTAGAGATGAGTCCTAGAAATAACCCTGAATTGGGACAGAGCTGGACTTCATAGCTTATTTGATCTTCTTCTCTAGTCTCTAGGGTAAGAAAGGGGGCCCAAAGTTAAGATTGGGTTAGCTGGAGAGGCTCTTTGATGTCATAAACCTACAATGCAAATGCTTTGAAATGCAAGAGCAAAAGCAATATGGAAATAGCTGCAAAGTCCCATCATAAATCTTGAGTAGTACAAATAAATAACCTAGACAGATGTGAATGCCCAGAGTGTCTGGACTTTGCAGGGTTTTCTTGGCAAAGTTCAGCAGTCTAGGCTAGCACAGTCTCCACCACCTCCATCTATGCTCCTGCCCCTAGTAAGCAATAAAAGTGACGTGTCTGCTAGCAAAAGGAAACATCTATGCTTCAGAAAAAAGGCACCTAAGCAATACTTCTCAATGAGCACAAAGTTTACTTCTAAGCCAAAGACATTCAGGTTTAACTGGACTAAACAGAAGTCCCGTTTGGCCATCTCTGTGTAGTTGCCCAGATAAAAATTAAAGTTCTCTTGTTTTGTTGTTGGGAAGGAAAATGCAGAGGTAAACTAAGGTGCCTTAGCCCAGATTTCTAGGGACTGGAACCAGCTTAAATACACAGGGGTGTCAGTGGGAGAATGTGCGACTGCCCGAGCTCATTGAACTCCTGGTGTCCAGTTCAGCATTGCTTTGTAACGTACCTTGAGATCCTTTGAGCAGAACACACTGGCAGGCACCCAAAGCCAGACAGACAAACCATAAAGCAAAACTGCACTGGGTTAACTGACAGGCATTGACGATATCATTGACTATGCAAGTGGGGGGCAATTTTATAATAAAAATCAACTGTGTTTGGGTATAATCACTATCCAGAGCTGCACCCTCCTCTCCAGCTTTGTATAGCTGAAGAAATGCACAATGGGAAGGCTTTTTGCTTTCCTATGAACACTGGGCAGCATCTTAGCATCTATCCAGAATCAAAGCAGCCAACTCTTGCAATAGGAAGACTCAGGCTCATCTTTCCTGTTGGTCACATTCACTACACATCTGTTACTCACTCTTCCAGGTCTGCTCTTGCTGACTTGCCACTTGAGGTCAGCTACTTCCTAACACCAAGTTTGTCCAAACTGATCATAGGTCTAGCTTTCCTAGTATCAGGTAGAATTTATCCTATGCCTACCATTCTGAACAGGATACAGGGACAGCTGATATATTCAGAGAGGAAATTTCTCAGTGCGTGTTGAATACAAATACTGTGATGTAGCACAATTAGCTGAGGAGAGAGGCTTCAGACAAGAACTTTTTAGCTCAACTAGATGCACAGCAAATGTTAGATGTATGTCCTTGGCACCTTGTGGGAGAAGGAGGGGTGGCACAAAACCATAAAACATAGGCTAAGATAGCTCCAGCCAGAACCGCAATGCGAAAGGAAAATTCTGTTTGGAAAAGGTGCCAAAAAATAATCCCATCACATGACCCACATTTGTCTCCCGGAGCAGCCAGCTCAAAGGGATTCAGCTGACAAGCCCAAAGATGGTTTTCTCTATTGGCCAGACCTCTACAGACTCAGGGTGGCTCTGAAGGTCAAGTTCAGCTCTTGCTGCTCATCATATCATGATGAGACGTTCTGCCAATGAACTGGAACTAAACTGAGCCCAACCTCCCATAGCTGCCTTGTCTCTGTGGTGTTAATGAGAGTTTCAAAAGGAGACGTTAATGACAACAGCAGATCTTAATACGGGGAGACCTCTTACTGTAATGGTCTCAATCCTCACTTCTTCTGCAGCAAGACGCCCCCACAGGGTAGCAGGGACTGAGGGGACCAGTCAAGGAGAGCTAGAAGGAGGGAGTGCAATCACACTTGAGCTCCATGATGGAAGAAGCCAAAGATCTGCTTGTTAGAAGGAATCTCCCAATGGGTGGCCTGCACATTTCGTCAGGAGGTAGCAAGGTGCCTGGCTAAACTAATCTCAGTGGATAGGCAGGGGCATAAACCCTACTTCAATTCATTATGATGGGGCTTCATTTTGGTAAGGTGAAAATGGATGGGGAGGCAAACTAACATAAAGAGGCAACTCCTGATGAAAAGCGAACTACTGTTCCCTCGCCCCTCCCACATCGCCCTACCCTCCACAGTCCCGCTCCTCTGGAAACCTGTTCTGTGCCATGTTTTGGGGTTTAGTGACACAGGAACCAGCCTGGTAAATGCTGTCCTAGTATGTACACCTTGGCTAGAGCTCCTTGCAAACATCAGTCATTATTTAGTAACTTTTACTAGGTGGAGGGAAGAGGGGATGGGAGAGACTTACTTCCCAAGAATTTGGTTCAAGGAGAAAAGCTCACTGAGATGAACAGGGCTGCAGCAGTGACCACTGGGACTCACCAGGTCCAGTGACCACTGGGACTCACCAGGCTCACCAGTGACCACTGGGACTCACCAGGCTGACTACAAGATGGAAGGAGTCTGCACGATCCCACCACCAGCGGACAGAATGAAGACAATGAGATGTGCCTACTGGCAAACTCCTCACCCTGCAGTGAAGCAAGGTGGCTTGCAGTGCAGTCCAGAGTTCATGTTTTGCAACTGAGGCAAAACCATCTTGGCTGCAGCAACACCTTTTGCTCAGATCCAATCCCAGACTAAGAACCTGAACAGAAACTGTTTAAACTGACTTAGATGCCTTGTCACCATTGTTCCAATCCTGACTTAATTTAGTAGCTGGGTTATGAGTTCCAAACAGGATTTCTCTCCCCTTCTGGCCTCTATTATTTTGCTCTTTTTGTAATTTGAGATGCACTCTGCATGAGGATTTTGGAGGGGTTTAGAGAAGGGGTCAAACCTTTAAAAATGTATTTTCCATTCCAGAGTGCAAGTTCATGCCTGAAGTTCAAAGAACCTCTAAGGGGAAAATGAGCAGAACCAACCAAACAAACAAAAAAACAACCCTGGGTCTCATGAGACCTCTAACTAGAAAGGCTATTGGCCATGTTGAAGAAGAGTCTAATACCAGGTAAGTGCTGCCGAGAAGCAGTAGGTTCTCTCCCTGGTTTAGGTCCTTAGAGATTGCAGTGACCCCCTGAAGGTCCTTTTATAAATCCCCCACAACTGCCTTTTTTCTATTCTTCCTTTAAGGGTTGTAAGTAGCTCCTCAAACCCTCAGTAGTCTTTGTCACCATAGTCATTGTAAAGGACGCTTAATGCTTGCTCTTCACATGTCTTCTTCAGGTCCCGGCTCAGCTCTGACCAGTTGAGTCCATAGAGCTTGATCTCGCTGTAGCGGCAGGCAAGGTATTTGAGTGACGTGCGCTGGAGGCTGATCTTGGGCTCCTGGAGGAGGCCATTGCACCAGCTGCTGAGGTCCCCAAGCTGAGAGAGAATGAGGCCAGCCTTCCTGCAGAGGGTTATGGGAGAAGCCAGAGAGGTGGTGGGACCAGGGAAGGGGTAGGTTAAAGACAGAGAAAAAAAAGAGGGGGGAAGGCAGGAGAGATGGACAGAGGGTCGGAGAAGAGAAAAGCAAGAAAGGTTAAACAGACCATGAAAGCTTTAGAGAAAAATAAAAAGAGAACAACAGCCACAGATAAAGCCACCAGGTGGGCCAGCTTCTCCATGCAACTTGAGCCAAGAGACTAGGCTGGAATCAAGGCTGTCTCTCTGGGATGTTTCTTCCTTGCCAAGTTAAAGAATGTCCCATTCCTTGGTTGAGTGGACAGGTGAGCAAGGAAAAGCACGACATGGAGCACAAGGATGTAGAGATGATCTCTGGATGCAGGTTGGAGGCGGACTAGCTGAAGACCTTGCTCTCTGCTCAGGTGGTAGTTCCAGAGAGCCAGGTATGGAGCATCCTTACACAGTGCTCATTCAAGATAAGCTACTGAGGCCAGGGGCAGGGAAACCTTCACCTCCTGGAGCATCTGGCAGGTGACAGCTCTACCTCCTGGAGTTTCATGCTGGCTTGACAGCCCAGAAGAATGAGATACCAAGGGATGGGACAACAACCATGACCATGGCAGACAGAGCATAACAAGCAGGGTTTGTACCCTGGACAAACTTGTTGGAAAGCTGGGGTAGGGAGTGGTGAGAAGATGCTGCTGAGTGGCAGTGTGGTAGGGGCAGGAGTTTTACCTACACCCAGGACTCAAAAACCATCCCTGGCTGCTACTGCTGTTGCTGCTGCTACCACCCACATGGTCTGCTGCCCTGGCTGCTGCTCTTACAGTAACAGCACAGTGTCTGTACAGCCAGGTGCAAGAGCAACCCCATAAGGCTACTTTTGCTACTGCGACACAGACTCTGTGAGGGTGGGGGTGATTCTGGCACCTTTTCTAAATTGGTGCCCCACCTGCCCACCCCTAGTCACACTACTGACAGTGGAGCTTCCCCCACAGCAGCTCTGTCTTGAGGGAACCGCTTCTAGGAGACAGCAAGAAGTTAAGCCTGACTTTTCTGAGGACAGTGCCCATGCAAGGTTGGCAGCAATATAGATAGATACCGACCAGGAATTATGCTAAACCTAACAACCCAAATCCTCATCAACAGCCTTCAGATGCTGGCTACTGACATGGACTGGTTTTGAATGAGCTATCAAGAAGTCAAAAAACTCCAGAAGACTGTTATACCAACCACCTGAACCACAGCGCCCTTAGGCTAATCTAGCATAGTAGAAGGGGATGAGCACCTAGCTCCCACAATATCAAATGAACCCTTCCCTGGAGACTCAGTTCATATGAGTACATGACACCTTTAGTCGCTAATGGCTTGATCCAAAATGCATGGAAGTCTGTGGAAAGCATCCTACGGACTTCACTGGGCTTTGGACGAGCCCCTTATCCACTGTTTATCTCCTGGAATGCAGCCTACCTTCCTCCCTGGACAAGGTATTTGGCTCAATTAACGTCTTCCCAGGGCAGGAGGTAACAGCCGCTCTTCTACATCTTGCGTACAGACACTACCCTAACAGCCAACGTTACTAGGACTTGACAGAAACACATTCCAAAAGAGCATGCTCAGGAGCACAGTATGATGGGATGATGCGGTGCGGGTTTCCATCCAGAACTTCAAAGGAGCATCAGAAAGCAGTCAAACAAACACTCTGTCTGCTGGCTAAATAATGTCATCTGCAAGTGATTTGTCCTGTCACAACCAGTCTGGATGTTTCACCCTAGCAGATGATCAAACAGGAGGTCTGGTTTCCAAGATTTGTCATCACCAGAGACCTCTTGCAGCTGCCTAAATGTTCCTTTCCAAATGGTATGAGCTGCAAACACTTCATCAGGAATTGCATCATTTTCCTTCAAATGCTTGAACACTTTCAACGAATGAAATTAACCCTCCTGCATCTTCACCCTCTTCTCTTTTAAATTCCCCAGACAGACACAGAGGCTAAGTAAATTCAGCACCAATTATTTAAAGCAGATCATTTTCCTCTATACTTTGCTGCATACAAAATTCTGCCAGTGTATCACCACTTTGACCTGAACAAACATCTCAGATCCAGAGAGTATATATAGTGAATGGAGAGTATACCTCCATTCACTATAGTACAGTAAATCCTCAGCCTCTCTACTAAGGCTGCCAGCAAGCACCAGCTGGACTGCTGGTTTTGCAATGAGCTCACTTATTTCCTTGATTAAGTCCAGTCAACTCTCTCTTTGCATAAGCTACCAAAAAGTCATCAGACGGGGACAACTTTTGACCACTGCAAACTGGTGTTGGATTTTAAATAAAGAGAAAGAAGCAGAGCAGCACAAAACCTGCAGGATTCAGTACACATGTGTGAAATAAAGCCCCACCCTGCACGGCTCACTTGTTGGGTATGGGAATAAGTTCTTGTAGGTTCTCTTGCAACTCTGAAGTCTACATGAAACAGCTTTCAAAAAGCCCCTATCTCCTGCCAAGAGCACTCAAAACAGGTTAGCCACCCCTCCTGAGCACTGGAAATCTCACAACATATTGTTAGGTTTCCTACCAAAGAAATGTTTCTCAGCCACATTCATCCTTCCCCTCTGTAGTGCTTTGGGGTGAGGGGAGGAGGGAGTTACTAACCCTTTGCACTGAGGAGCTAAGGAAACCTTGGAGGTTTCCTAGCAACTCTGTGCTAGGGGAGATGCACAATAACACTTAGTATATGGTTGCCATGAAACCCCGGGGACTATGAAGTGCTGCCAGCCAAGTCATTCTGTCCCCCACCAAGAGGGCTCATTTTGGCAGTCCACTGGAAATTCATGAAAGGACAAGATGTGTCCATGGGGTGTCTCCTGAGAAGGGGATGAGAAAACTCTCTCAAACCTGGGGAATGGAGGGGAAGAAGCTGGAGGCTCTCACAGTTCTGCAGAAGTAGCACCCAGTCCCAGCTGAATGCAAATTATGGTAAGATTTTTGTGAGGGGACCTGAGGCCTGGAGAGGGGAGTTGGGTGCACTCCTGTACCCCATGCTTTCATGGATGAGGATGGGTGTTTGTGACGATTGACAAAGGCAGAGCCACACGGATTTTCAGGTGGATTCTGAGCTCTTAGAACATGAAAGCTGCCATTTACTAGGTCAGGCTATAGGTCCATCCAGCCCTGTATCCTGTCTCCCCAAAAACAGAGACGATTAGCATGGTTCCTGCAAGATGTTCCGTACCAGTACCTGCTCTCTTCTTCCTGTGTTAACATCTTCTGTCCCACAGAATTAGTGGTGTGCACTTAGTGGCCTCCCTCTAGCCATTGAGGGGGGAGCTTGTAGTTTCTGGTGGCCCTAGGTCCAGTCCTGGCATAATAAATAGGTCTGTTCAAACAGTGGCGGAGAGGAGATGCTGAGGCGAAGGGTAAACATGCCAGACTCAGAATTTTCCACCATCTGCTCCTCTACTACTGTAGCTTCCAGCATTCAGAGCATTGAGGAAGTTGTGATTCAGAGGCTGCCCCCCCTACCTGCAATGTTCAATACCTGCTGATGGATCATTCCTCCATTCTCTTGTCCATTCCCATTTTGAATTGTGTTAAACTGTCAGCTCCCACAGCATCTTGTGGCAAAGAATTCTACAAGTTAATTACATGCTGCATGAGCAAGATCTTCCTATTGTTAGTTTAAAACCTACTACCTAATACAGTGGTTCTCAACCTTTTTAGACTCAAGGCACCCCTTAGAAAATGCCAGGTCTTCTTAGCTTTTGTTCATTTCTTGGAAAGTAATAGAACAATTCTTTAGTTCCAAAGAACTTAGAAAAACCAAAACAGATCAGAATGTCTTGGACACTATGGACACCTACTTGAGATTTCTGGATTTATCTTGTGAATCATGTATAGGTGTTTTCACATCTAACAGTGCTAATATTGCCATCATCACTGGCTCATCGCCACTGAGTTAATAGTTTTATGTCCCCTACTTCTAGTACTGTAGCAGACAGTAAATAATACATCCCCATTTACTTTCCCTGCACTATTTAATATTATATCAACTTTTATCATGTCCTTCTCTGGCATCCTTTTTCTAAGCTGAGAAGTCTTAGCCTATTTAGTTTCTCCTCATATGGAAGTCTCTCTATATCCTTGATGCCCTTCTCTGTACCTTCTACAGTTTTTCTATATCCTTTTTTAGGTGAAGGGACCAAAATTGCACAGAAATTTAAAGGGATATAATGATAATTTCTATTTCAAGCCATCCTTTTCCTCTAGCTATATTCAGAACACAGGTGCTCAAGGGAAGGAGAGAAGAAGGGGTTTCCGTCCTTTTAGGGGGGTTTGGCATATCACAGTGGTGGGGTGCTATGTCTAGACACATTGAGGCATGAAAATGGCAGCAACAAGCCAGCAGTTTTAAGGCACAGGGCCTTCAGTTTCAACATGATTAACCCATGCAACCAGAGCTGGGGACAAAGGGGCAGAACTAAAGAGAGCAGGAGGGAACTATTTCCAGATGTCATTCTGTTGCTTACAGTAGAATTACACAGAAGCCAAATGTAGCCAGGCGCAGTGATTTCAAGTTAGACAAAAGCAAGAAAATGAAATGTGAGGCCAGGTAAACCCAGCTTTTGCTTGCATCAACTATGGCAGAAATGTGCTTGCCTATATAGTGTGCATACAAAATGCAGTCTGCTTCATCTACCTCCACTCTTTCTTAGGATCCAGAACAGCCATCTTAAAGTGGCTATAGCTGCCCTTTCTTGCTCCCCTCCCACCCTACTCCATACTGTACTGCCCACTGCCCAGGCCTTTTGGAACAGCCTCCCAGACACATTCCATTCCCCTCACATCTGGAACAGTCTCCTCTGAATTAGTTCAGGAAATCTTCAGCATTTATTTTTTCAGGATGTTCTGTTTTCCCCTGGCAGCAACCGTTGCCACAATATGAGTGGAAAAGAGGGTCCCTTGGCTGTCTTTTCCTCCCATCCCTTCTGATTCTTCATCATGTGAAAATAGCCAAGTCAATCTACAAAGATAAACTGAAGGCAGATTGGGGAAAGATGGTGGAATTCCAGCTAATGGCTTGTCTACAGTCAAGATAGGTTTCTGCTGATCTGTCTTGTCCATTTGCCAGATTTAACCTTCTTACTGATAACTAGTGATGGGGGGCATTCTAACATGTGCATTGAGTGAGGTGCAACTGCTGTTCTAAGTAACATGGCTAACTGGCTTACCTGGGTCCTAGCTCATCTTCACATCGCCAAGTGAACTCTCCAAAGCTCTCGTAATGTTGGTTGTAATGGTAGAGGACTCGGTGCAGGCTGGGTGAACCCAGGTCCAGCAGAGTGTTGTAAGCTGTTTGTTGCTCTTTACCACTGGTGTAGCCATTGAAAAGATTGTAGATCTTGTCTGCTATTTCTGGATAAAAAGATGGAAAGGGCCCACAATGTGCTTAATATAGAAGAAGGAAATGCACCATCAAGCATCTCAGCTTTTAAGGAAAGCCCCTTGGGCAAAATCCTGGCCTGGCTATAGTCAAGGACAAAATTTCCATCAATATGAAGGAGGACGAATCCACCCACTGTCTTGTACTTTGCATTGTATCAACAGAATACATCCTAACAGAGGAACAAGGAAACAGACTTCCCAGACTGGATAAGGCCTGTGGTCCATCTCATCCAGTTTCTCATCTCAGACAACTACCAGAACCAGATTTTCAAAGAAAGGTGTAAGAACCCTGTCTCCTGACTCCCAACACGCAGAGATTGGTTTATGCCTCCAAAACTGCAGCAATCCTAGTACATTTGAAGCTCGTGTGCTCTGGATTTTTTACTGAAGATACTCTTACTACCCATATACCAGTCATACCCTTTGGGTTGCTGTCTAATATGATCAGAGGTGGTGCTATACTGTCAATGTGTCCTTGTTATGGCTTGAGATTAATTCTCATTGCCACTTAGAATAATGCATCTCATTCCCTGCCACCCTGGAGGGGATGTTTAAACAAATACATATATTCCACCTCCTAAATGGCAAACATATTTGACCCCTGCTGCCTTTCTGAAGGCTCAGTCTAGCTGCACCAACATGATTACAACAGCCTGTCTCAGTAAACAAAATGAAGGAGCAGCCAGGCAACCTCAGATTGTAATTCTGCCAAGATTTAACTACATATGTCATAATCCATAAGAAAACAGTCACCAGAGCCCCAAGGTGGTGATTCATTGTAGTAGTAGGCAACCGTCGATCTTTCTGCATCATGGTGCATGTGTGAGAGGTCACCAAGACCTTTGACACATATGCATAGGCAGAAGTATGGAAGAGTGGAGGCTGCCCAGAACTTGCATCCCTCCTTTAGACCGCTGAGACAGAGTCCAAAAGCCAGACCAAGTTCAGATGTTTGGTGCCTCAATGGCTATAGCTATATGTGCATCCAGGAATCAAACCCATGTCTCTGCCAAAAGGTTTGACTCTAGGTGAAAACATAGCCAATATTCAATGTGGAAGAGAGGTGGGTTCTTCTTCAGTTTTGCCCATCATGCACGTGGAACCAACTTGGACCTGGTCCTGGATTCTACCCAGCTTAAGGGCTGTTCAAACCCAGGGCTTTTGTTTTGGCGTTTCTCTACAACTAGCCCAAAAAGCAAGGGCATAGATGCAACTTAGTGTACATGATATTGAGTGCAGTGACTGTAGCCTACACTACAGTCCCATGGTGCTAAGAGAAGGCATCTCTGGCCTGAGTTGTGCTATAAGGGATAGCCAGCATCTCAGGGCCGGGCAATTATTTTGGGCGGAGGGTTGCTTACCCAGTTTTGGCAGGCTGTCAAGCGCCATATGGGTAGCTCTGCCCCTTGACAGGTGCCCCACCCCTTGACAGGTGCCCCTCCCCCTGGTCACCATCTTGGGACCAGTGTCCCAGGGTCAGCACTGGTGGGGCCCAGGCCGGCAAGGGTCTGTGGAGCCGGGCTGGCCTGCACCAGCAGGGAGGGGGGAGCTGGCCTGGCTCCATAAAGCCCCTGCCAGCTGGGACCCCGCACTCCTGCCACCCTGCTCTGGACCCCAACAGCACTGGCCCCAGGACATGGGTGCTGGCCCTGTGCTCCCACTGGCTCCCCGCCCACTCACTCCCAGTGTTCCTCAGCCCCGTGGTACAGGCAGGGGGTAGTGCTCAGCCCCGACACCCTGCTCGCCAGCAGGGAAGCTGGTGCTGAGCATGGGGAAAAGTGGCCCCTTGCCCGCCCCACGGACAGTGCTCCCTGCTAAACGCACTCACAGCCTGCAAGGGGCTGTCTGGAGCAGGCATAGGCAGCCTCATGCAGGCTGCAGGTGGCTGCAGCATAGGGCACTGGCCATGGGGCAGGCGAGGGGCCACCTTTCCTCACGCTCAGCACCAGCTTGTAACCCTCCCCATCGCCAGCCTGGCAGTGGGTCTGGGTTACAAGGTGGTGCTGAATGTGGAGGGGAGTGGGGGAGAAAGCAGCCCCTCCCTGCTGCCCCGCGCTGCAGCCACTCACAGCCGGCCTGGGGCTGCCTGTGCCTGCTCCGGACAGCCCTGCATGGGCTGCGAGTGCCTGCAGCATGGGCCGCTGGCCATGGGGCAGGCGACGGGCCACTTTTCTCCATGCTGAGAAGGAGCCTGGGGAAAAACTGAGTGCGGGGGGGGAAGTGGCCCCTCCCCTGCCCCAGGCCCAGTGCCCCACGCTGCAGGTGCTCGCAGCCCGCATGGGGCTGTCCAGAGCGGGCACAGGCAGCCCCATGCAGGCTGCAAGCAGCTGCAGTGCAGGGCACCAGGCATGGGTGGGGCCACTTCCCCCCCTCCCCGCCCTCCCACCCCCCACTTACCTCAGCCACTTCCGGCTGGGGGGGTGGGGCTGGGTGGGCCCCACTGTTGTTGGAGCCCGCCAGGCTTCCCCTGGGTCCTACTGCCCTTGGTTCCTGTCA